AAGATCCTTGAATCTTCTTTCATTTCCTTACAGACTCTGCTGCATGCCAAAAGGGATTTATTCTGCAAACTGCAAATGATGATCAGGAGATTAAATACATCATCTACAGCAAGAATTTTTGTAGGTAATGTAATTACGGTATCCCAGCTGAGATGAGAGAGAAGAATACAAGTTATCAAATGAATACCTGAGTGTCTATGATGTGATTTATTTTTCCCACTGATTCAACACAGCTTTATGTTATTAATAAGTTCTTCTCTTTTGTGTCATTTCAGTGTATATGCAATGTCACGTCATAACAGATCTGGAATCATAGTCTGCAGTCTACCTTATGGTGTATTGATTGCTACGTACTCATTTCCTTGCACCAGTGTAAAAGCAATAGAAATTGTGGAGAACACTTGCGAACAACTGAGAAGATGACAGAAAGGAGAACATAATTCATGAAATTATGAACCAGCATGAGGTGTGATTTACCACCTGAAATACAAACGACATGTGAATTGTTTCTTTCATATGAAAACCTGAATATTTCCCTGAAACTAGTATGCAAGAAAAGAGATTTGAAGTTGTCCCCATTAAATATCATAAACTTGAATTTTTTCTAAAAATTTGTGCATGAAACAGGATGAGGATGCCTCCCTACCCTTTGCTACCCTCATAAAGATGGAAATATGTATTAGACACAACTTATACCTTCAGCTTTATAACCTCATTTTCAGCTACTTCAGAATCAAGTGGAACCAGCTCTTTGAAAAACAAAACATGTAAGAAAAAAAAAAAAGAAACAAAATCTCATCAGAGAGCTATCTGTGACTCTGTGAGGCAGAGGGTTAAAAAACACTGCCTTATTTGGCCTATGGCTATGTGCTCTTCAGCAGAGATGTTTTTGGAATTTTCGCGGTAAATTGGTGTCAAAATATTTTCACGAATTATTGTGTGAAAAAATTCTTGTGTCTCTAAATTCCCCACCTCTTCTCACTTCTCAAATGATCCCTCGGTTTTATCCTATTTACCAAATGGCACGAGAGACTGAAATTGATCCCACAGGAGACCATTGTGTTACTTACATCTATTTACCAAGGATTACAATGCACGAGATTACTTGAAAAAAGATGGAATGAAAGCCATATGAAGTAAAAAGGTTAAATGGCAATGTCAGAACCTACGTACACATGTGCGTGACGCGCGTGATCATTCAACCTGATCGCCTAACAGAAGATTGAAAAGCTTAGCTTCAAAATCAAAACATTGACTACAGTCATCTTTCGAAGGAAAACTGGCTAAATTTTACATTAAGCTAAAATCGTTCGAAGTACAGGAAAAGACCCATCGCAATTTCGTCGATCGAGCACACGAGTACACACATACGTAACGCAAATTTTGATCTCTAATGTCCATAAACTTACCATATAGGTCAAGTTGACTTCTTCAATATCTTTTCTCCTGCAAATACACTAGCACAGTGCAACGACTGACCTTTTATGCAAATTAAAAGCACAGCCTTTTGCAGTCTTAACTGTTCCAAAAGACCATTTGCGTTAACATTTTATGGGGCCCGAGTTGGGGTGAGCAGGGGAAGGAGGAGGGCGGACAGGTGGGAGTGAAGGGCCTTCACCAAAAATAAATTGTGCCTTCCCTTTTATCAGAGAATATCTCTACCAACGGAAAGGCCCTTTTCTTTACAGTAATAGCTAGGTGCAAAAACAGCTCACTAAACAAAATCTAAAACTGTTGATGACACACCATTCTTTGCAAGTTGAAACTGTTATGTGATTGCATGCAGGAAATCTTTTCACTTGGTGGTACATGCTGCAGGAGAAAATTCATATTTTTTTATGGCCTTCCTTTTCCCTTAAGACCAAGTCAGTTCTTGACAAAGATTTCCAGGGAAGGAGGAAAGGTGAAAATCTACCTCCTCTTACCAACTGTTCTCTTATCTTCCATCCTTTCTTCCATAATACAGCAGATTATTGTTCAACAAATGTTTTCATTTGTCTCCCACTTTCTGCCAATTCTCTAGTTTTCCTCATGCCTTTTTTTTTATTCTTTCCCTCTGTTCAACCTCCCTCTTTCCCTCCCCCTAAACCCTGCATCAGTAATGACATTGTATAAAGGAAACAAACAGCTCAATTTTATTTGGTTCAAATAATAAAAAAAAAAACTAACATCAGCCATGAAAATTTGAGCAAAGTGTAAAATGAAATATAACATAAACTAAATGAAAGCTTGAAAAATAATTGTCATACAATTTTAACCACGGAATTACCAGTACATAACAAGCTCAGTGCTGCTACTGCTACATAACAAGCTCAGTGCTGCTACCAGTACATAACAAGTTCAGTGCTGCTACCAGTACATAACAAGCTCAGTGCTGCTACCAGTACATAACAAGTTCAGTGCTGCTAACAGTACATAACAAGTTCAGTGCTGCTACCAGTACATAACAAGTTCAGTGCTACTACCAGTACAAAACAAGTTCAGTGCTGCTACCAGTACAAAACAAGTTCAGTGCTGCTAGACGGAATCACTTCACTTTATCAAGAAGTCAGCCAAACATAATGTTTTTAAGCTGCCCCCATCATTCAAAGTCATCCTTCTAGAACAAACAGCTGGTTCAAACTGAAAGTAAGTATTTGTCGAGAAGAATAAGGGAATTATTGTCAGATAAATAAAATGGACAACTACATATTGTAGAGTCTATCAAACACCTTGTGGTCACCTTATCAGTGGGGGTGGAGGGGAAGGTGTAAAATCCTAACACCTCAGATAAATGCCATACTGTGACCATAGACAGAACAAGGAGAGATAGCATATAAGGGTATTTCTTTCAAATCTAAAAGTATATAATACCCCATAATATTTGACCCTTCTGATTTCCTGCATATTTGCCTAATAAATTACAGATTTCTTTTGATCTCAGCTTCTCCCAATTGAATTTTCCATTTGAATTTCTTCTGGGGAGGCATAGATATCTTCTAAAGCTGCAATTTTTTAATTAAATCTCAAATATCAGTACATGAACACAGTACACCTTTACCTTGCAATGATCATGGTTAGTTAGCCTCTAGCTAAGAGCAGCATCTATTGCTTGTATAATCTTATCCATTTTGCTGTCATTGTCTACATATCCATCACCATTCTGAGAGGAAAATTAACATCTCACAAATATATTCCACATTTCTGTGTATCTGTTCAGTAATAGATCACAGATGATGCAAAAAGGGGTAAGAACAAACATGTGGCACAATTGGGGAGTGGCTGCATGTGTTGCAGACGTTCTACCACATATTGATGCCTTCTGTGATCTATTGCTGTATAGACTGATGGCAATGTAGAATCTATTTGTTTTATAAGATATAAAAGCAAAATGTTGTTGCTGGTGATGCCATGTAAGTGTCTGTCCTCCAGTAGATCATATTCATATAAATTATGTTATACAAAGCTGGAAAAAAAGGTACTTTGCTAGAAAGGATAATATTTTAGGGCTGATCCATATGTATTCAAAGCTGTTTCAGTTTCCACAATTCCACTTTTTCATAAAGTGATTTTAAAAAATGAAAACAAAACAGAGAACACACCATAATAGAAACTACATATTTGTCTAGAGTTATGAGTTATTCCTCTTTTACCAATACCACCATCTGCACAATAAGGCTTGTTTGAAACTGTCAGTCCACATGGCAATTTCATTTGCTAAAGGGGAAGAGGGGCATTTGTACCAGTGGTACTGGATTGCATAAAGCTGGTTCACATTCTAAACACACACTTCTGTAAATATATATACCAGGAATATGTGTACTTGACTAAAAAAAATTGAGTAAGTTAACTGTAATCTTAAGGGGTGTTTCCATAGAATTATCATACCTTTTTTGAATGAACAAGCTTATCATTCACTTCTACCTCTAAATAACCAGTAACAGTTTGTGTTGCAAATCCGTGCTGTAGAACAAATAGAAAAAAAAAGACCTTAACATAGCAAAAACTGAAAAATGTTTATTGTGCAAAGGATGGGAAAAAATATATAAGTGTATCCATAAAAATTAACATATTAATTAAGGAACTTCTCTCATTACCAAAAGAATTTGGTAATATACTTTTTCAGATGGGCAAAAAAAACAACCAAATTCTTCTCCTTTGAATGCAATAGAGGTTATTGCAAAATGTTGGAGTTTAATTAAAAAATATCCAGCGTACTTTATGTAACCTTCTCTTTTAATTTAAGATATAAAAAAATTTAGTAAGAGTTACAGCTATGGCGTATATGTTACTAACCACTTTCACTTCTCTACCAGCAAATTTTTTGAGGATCGTCTGTTTGATCTTCTGATACTAAAAAATAAGTAAATAAATGTGGAAAACATGACAGTAGTAATAACAATAAAAATTAACTATATTATTTATAATAATAATAATAATAATAATAACAATAATGCAGAAACTGCACACATTTCAATCAGATTATTGCACTTGTCATGTGCTTGGATTCTATTAAAATATTATCATACCAATTATTTACAGTATACGAGTCATACATTGTTTTTGATGGAAAATATGTTTGGATAATCTACATTGTTGTTATAAACAGAAAAGACCACCACAATTTCCAACCCTGATACCAGGATGGTGATGGGGGAGGGGGGGGGAGAGGGTGGGGGGGTTGGTGATTAAAGGGATAAAACTTTCTTAGTTAATGGACGCCTTGATCGTTCCTTCAGGGAAGCTAGAAATTTATGAAAACAAATCCAGTAGGCCAGAGTTCGCAGTTAGCAGCAAAAATAGAGGCAAAAGTTACGATTTAACCTATTTTTTTGATGACTTTGTACTGACTTCTACTTAAGCAACGAAAATTGCTTTAATTTCTAACAGTCATTTTAAGCTTACTGAGTTTTCGGTGTGCCATTCATACCTTAGGTTTGTACCCTCATCCTCCACTGCAATTGAACACAGGTAAAACTGTGAGTAAGATCCAACGCGCTCTACGATCTAAATTTCAGCTTACGAATGACATCAAAACTTTCGGAAGCAAGCACCATATACGGAAGCAAAACTGGAGCGACAGACACCCACATAGACGAAAAGTCCCAAGTCCTAAAAACATGCTTACCAATAAGTGACCATAACTCTCACCGTCATACTGCAGGAAGTAAGTTGAACCTGTTTCGAAACCCTAAAAGTTTGCTTCAACAATACTTCACCGATCGGTGCCCTTCGTCTGCTGTCTATCCCCTCCGTCTCACCCCTGGAAGCTATCTTTCTCTCTCTACCCAGCCTCCCTCGGTTACAAAAATAGATATTTCTCCCCAGCAACCAAGATGATTGTCTTTTGCTTGTCGGACAACTGTAAACCAGTCTTAACATGATTTTGTATTTTGGACACTAGTGGCTGATTTTAGAATTTGGATACTAGTGGCCGATTTTAGAATTTGGACACTAGTGGCTGATTTTAGAATTTGGACACTAGTGGCTGATTTTAGAATTTGGATACTAGTGGCTGATTTTAGAATTTGGACACAAGTGGCTGATTTTAGAATTGGGGCACTAGTGGCTGATTTTAGAATTTGGACACTAGTGGCCGATTTTAGAATTTGGACACTAGTGGCCGATTCTTGATTTTGGACCCTAGTGGCTGATTTTAGAATTTGTACACTAGTGGCCGATTTTAGAATTTGGACCCTAGTGGCCGATTTTAGAATTTGGACACTAGTGGCCGATTTTAGAATTTGGGCACTAGTGGCCGTTTTTAGAATTTGGACAGTAGTGGCCGATTCTTGATTTTGGACCCTAGTGGCTGATTTTAGAATTTGGACACTAGTGGCCGATTTTAGAATTTGGACCTTAGTGGCCGATTCTCGATTTTGGATCGTAGTGGCCGATTTTCGATTTAAGTAGTCGATTTTATGTTTTGGACCGTAAAGGCCGATCTTCGATTTTGGGCCCTAAAGGCCGATTTTCGATTTTGGACACCAGTGGCCGATTCTTGATTTTGAACCCTAGTGACTGATTTTTGATTTTGGACACTAGAAGCCATTTTTTTAGTTTTGGACCGTAGTGGCAGATTTTTGATCGGTGATACTAGTGGCTGGTTTTAGATTTTGGAGACTTGTGGCCGATTTTTTATTTTGGACACTAATAGGCGAATTTTGATTTTGGACCTTAGCGGTCGTTTCTGGATTTTGGTTTTGATTTTGCTGGTTTTTAAAGTGACAGTAGAGATTCTCGCGCGCTGATTGTCCAAGAACCATTGTCAGTTAAACAAATGATTTCATTTTACCTGTTCATTAATAGATCACATGTGACATCAAAATGTGGTAAGAACACACGACGCGCGGCAACCAGCCCCCCAAAATTGGGGTTAGTTGAATACAGGCGCGAACAAGCCAGATTATTTAACCCTAGAAGATTTAAATATCACTCCGCTTCCCCCTCGAATCTCCTTCACTCCCTGCCATTTGTATATGTTCGCCTGATATCCAAGAAATGTTCAGAAATGAGAGAGCCTGCCTTACAGAGTACTGCGATAGGCCCGAGATTTACACAGTTAATAATAAAAAATTATTATATATGTCATGTCACGAGCGGAATCCGAAGGTCTGTGGTTTGACTCGCCCTCATATAGAAATCAGAATTTTTTTCTTCATCGCACGCGACATGGCGAAAAAAACATCTTCCACTATTTCCTAACCGAGCTCAAAACTCACCTTTTTTAATCCGTTTATACACAGACCTTGTTACTTTGGACACAACCACTTTTAACGAAGAAAAATCACTCAAAATGTTGTTTTTATACAGAAGTTTATTACTTAAGAGTAATCATTATCCTCAGTGGCTATAATTACAAATGGTACTCCACGCAACATACTTAAATCATTTGGAGTTTATGCAAGGGCTGTTGTGCTTAATAATCGGAGCCACGATATAAACGTATTATGATGTACAATAAAGAATATCATTAACCTTAAATAACATGAATTCTCCATTCCTATCTACCTTCTCCTTTCGCTACGCTTTTTTTTAACACTGTTTAGTGTTATAACGAGATAACACCTTCTTGCCGATACGCTAGCCTGTTTCCAGTGTCTACTTGCAAGATTTTAAGAACTGAAACGGCGGGAGAAGGAACATGTTTGAAATTCTGAAAGTTCAAGTTTAAGGTTATTAATCATACTTGTTAAATACCACGATGCTATAAGCAGTTTCAGTATAATACTTCCCACAAAACATATTTTCAAAGGTAAACTATTACATAGCGAACTCCTCGATCACAGTAATCCATTACGGATAGTTACCAACATCGTGCATTTCGAAAACATTTACTTCATTTTACTAAACTCACCTCGTCAGAGGATATAACGCTGACATAGCCCAGAAAACCCGTTATGCCTTGCAGTAGTGCATTATAATTTAAATAGACTTTTGAGGATTGAACCAAAATAATTGATACTTTTATACTTAGTACTCCGCCTATCAAGCGTTTCCTATAGAGTTTAGCTTTCATTTACAAAGATTCCAGTCCTTAATGTTATTTGCCCATTTCCGTGTAGAACACGATCCCATAACGTGCGCAAAAATATACGCCGCTGGAAAAGCACGTGCACATCAGGTCTGCGAAGGATAGGTTGCTCTCAAGAGCATCATCTTGGAATGAGATTGAGTACGTGAACGAGACGGCGACTCGCGTTTATCTCGATATATATCATTCTGTTTGCGTTTAGTCTCTGTCGTAGGAGAGGATAGGAGATAACCATTTTTCGACTTCCTCAATTGGCATTCCCTTTCGTTCCGCATAATCTTTCACCTTAGTGAGAGAGAAAGAGAGAAAAACAAGACGCAATTAGTAGTGGGAACTGTATCATAGCCACTGCCTGTGAAGAACACTTCAAAGTTAACTTTCGTCTAGTTTGTCTGCTTGAGCGTTTTTCCACGCCATAATCCGTTTTACCCAGCTTTGGCGTGAGTTTTCGTTTTGGAGCCTACCTCTGAAGCAGATAGGCTGCATTGCAGGCGTCATCTTGGGGCGTGTGAAAGTTACAAAGCTCGCGATCGTTTATTCGACCAGCCATGTTTAATTTAGAGCTTGAGTGGACGGTGGCGGAGGGGGCGAGGAAAGGCGCTTGGTTTTCATCGCTCTGTTATTTCACAAAGCGTAACTTGTGTCCTACCTGGTCTTCGCAGATTTTTCCCACTGAGAAGTAAACAGCTTTAGGATGAGCGAAGAAAACCGCCGATACTGAAGCAGCGGGATCCATGGCCAGCGACTCTGTCAACTTGATTCCAGTTAATTTCTCACAGTTCATTAAATCCCACATGGTCTTTTTCTCTGTATGATCCGGTTGACTTGGGTAACCCGGTGCCGGACGAATTCCCTGGAGACGTAAAGTAAAGAGGTTGCTATGCATTACTCACGTTGTCCAGTCTTCAAATTCAAGCATTGTCAACGCCGACGAAATGTAATTTTAAAAAGTGACGAATATTTTCATGACTTAGGGACATACTCTATGGATATATCACCATTGGAACCACGCTCTTTTTCATTGTTAGGTCTATTTTCAAGAGAGAGACCTTAAAATTTTGATCGTTATTTTAGGGTCCAGTCTTCCAGTCATGAATGACGGCGATCACCGTCAGCCATAGTTCAGAATCACACACCATGAACTTACCTGGTATTTGATTCGGTGTAAGTCCTTCGCGTCCAGAACTTCATCGCTACAGTAACCCCATAATTCCTTGCGCACACGTTCATGAAGTTCCTCTGCAAAGGCCTGATACAAGGAAAAATACAAGAATATGGTACGGCTTACATAATTCAACTCGTACATTGAAATAATTTAAATAATTGATGATTAAGGCCAAGGAAGAACTCGAAAGATAAAGGAAATCTACGATACAGACAGGTCGAAGGCCGGGAAGTAGTTCCTTCAATAAATACAACAGTTTAGATATTTCCGAAAGGATTTTAAACGTCGCCGGAATGGAGGAAACGTTACTCACTTCGGCTAAGCGGTCAGCAAGTGCCTTTACCATAATAACACTGTAATCGTCCAGATCCTCGTCAAATCTGAGAAGCAGATGATAAATATTACACTCCGTTAAATTTCAAACGTAAGCTATTTCTTTATTACTGAGGGCGACATCGGCGTTCCGAAAGCAAACTTATGATGTTTAACTATCATTGATTCAACTTAGTGAGTTTATGAAAACGATAAAATGAACTCCAATTTGAAGAACTTTTTCGGCTCGATTTCTCAACATCAACATTATAAAAAATACTGAAAAAATCGTCATAACAAGTTCAAATCCTCCTACTTCACTGCGCAAACGACTGAAAAAAAGAAACGCTTCACCTACTTTAAACCAGCCGACTTCAATGACTACAAGTCATGTACTATAACTTGGTTTCTATATCAAAACATTTAGAGATTCCATGCCCGTCAATTTGCTCCACTTTAACCCCTACGAGTGACTAGCATCTAACTTCTCTTTTCATCATCACCCCCGAGTCAAATACTAAGGGCACGAGAATAAAGGAATTGATCACTGACTAGAGAAACTCTTAATTTTTAGAACAAATTCTCCTGTCCAGCACCTTAACAATTGTATAGAGAACAGTATTGAGAATAAGCATACTGATGTTAGGGTGTAAAGGGGTTCAGTGCCGTTTAGCTACGTACTTTTTAGCCATCTCCTCGGCGCCCATAATAGATACAGCAAAGCAGCCGACGTAGTCCTTGATATTTGAGTCCAGCGGTGCTACAAAGTCAGACAGACAGTGGTATGGGTCTTCTACACCATGCTCCTTTTCGGCCTAAAAATGAGACACAAGTCGTTTAGAACGGAAATATGACGAACTTAAAATGTTTGCTTAGTGTAAGGAAAGGAGAGGTTTAAGTCTGCACACAAATAAAGTGCCTTAGCGCTCTGCAGGGGTAAATTCCGTTTTCATGAATGAGTAAAAGCAAAGTAAACTGTGAAGACACAGTGAACTGATGGTGGCAAGAGTCACACGGAAATATTATCGCGAACGTAAAATTTGTATTTATTCTAGTATTTTCAAGAAGTTAAGGAAGTTTCAGAAGTTATCATTCTGTGTTGAAAATCATTCACTTAAAGACCAGTCATAATTTATCATCGGGGAAGGAGGGGGGAAGAAAGGAAAATTTTGACTATGTCACAATTAAATTCACCTGATCCCCCCTAAGTCCCCACACTAGCAGTCAACTATTTCAGTCCCCTCTTCATACTCTATTGGCAACGACTGTTCCCCCCTCCGTTCCCCCTGGAAACCATGAGACCATGTGACCATGTGGGCGCTTGCCTACCTGTTGTCTCAAGCCATAGAACACAGCCCGTGGGGAACCCTCTCGTTTGTTGTCGTCCTCAAAGATGTGAACGTCATCACCGACACTGTTAGCTGGAAAAAAAGCCACTTCTCCAGTCGGTTGAAGTGATTTCTTCTCAAGGATCGTCTTTAACATGTCTTGGGCATCGTTGAACAATTTTTTAGCTTCTTCGCCTGAAGAAGAAGCAAACACAATCCGAGGTGAATCCTTCAACTCCCAAGATCTGATTGTTAATTCTCCCTTCTAACGGATTTCCTAGTAAACCGTTTACGAGATTTTGGTGTTGGATCAAGAGAACTACTTAAACCTGATACGTTTGAGAATTCTCATTACCTGATTGCCGGATAACGTATGTATATGATAGGAAGAAGTTTTATTTTAATCACTTCTGGGAGATAAAAGATTGAGTTACAAAAAGAATTGCTGTGGTAGCTTTAAGTTTCCTACTTTTACACTTACCGACTGTTTTATCCTGGAAGATTTTAGGGTAACCTCTGTTGGGATACTTTCCTCGAAGTTGCCATACATCAAAGAAAGGTTTCCAGTCAATGTAAGGAATAATATCATTCAAACCGCAATCATCGATCACCTTGACACCCAAGAACGAAGGCCGCACTGAAAAACAAACAAAAAAATCAGTCATAATAACAAAATTCGAGTTTATATCCCCTTAAAAAATTTTACCAGAAAACACTCCATGCTGATGACGTACTCTATGGAGATCTGCACATTGTCTCTGATTGGCTGTTTCTTTCTGAACACCAGCCACTCAAAGGTACCATTGAATAACAATGCTTGAATGGAGCCTCAAGCAGAGAAATTTTCTGTTTACTGAAGATGTTTACAAAAACCAGCAACAATATATGTTAAAAAAACAAAGAGGTTCCAATTTCGGAAAGGACTGAGTCATACTTTCAAGTTGTTTGTAAAGCAGTTTTAAGTAATAACCTGGAGTGAAGTCAACCCAGTCCAGATTGCACTTCTTCGTGCGGGCTTTCTCAAGGGACACATACTTGCGATCCTGCCAAAAAGAAAGAAAAAAATCATAACATTTTAGTAAATGTGCTGAAATATGAAGCCGAAAAAAGATAAGAGGTTTTAATCGTTCTTTCTTTCATGGACGAAAAACAAACCGTGCTGCCAGTCAAAGCTAATAGCGCTTCACGTATCAAATTTGAAGGGTAGATAAAGAAGTATACGCCCCCAAATCTTCCGCATAGGCTTCTCCCCACAGAAAAACCCTCTTTGAGCGATTTTTAGCCCACTCAAGTTCTCGAAGGTTCAAGGGAAGTGTTGAAATACCTCATTAATGCTGTGACAAATTTTAAACACATCTACATCCAATTCAACGTCTAATCCTTCTAAACCAAAACCAATTAAGGACGTAGCATCTTAGCTTAATCCCCAGTAGAGAGAAAAGACCTTGCAACCTTGATGGGTGTTATTGTGACACCCAGTGTCATTTCTCTCACCTTCAAAGAATCGTAATGCTCGTCTCGAATCTCTTCGTACTCCTCTTTGATTTCTTCCATGAAGTCCTCCTTAGCGTTCTGATCAATCAACGCTGAGCACTATGCAAACAGATTATCAAGTTACAAATTGATAAAAAAAAAAAAAAAGCCACGAAACACAACACGAAATGTAAGAGCACGATCAAGCTGCCTTACCACCACAACACTCTTGGAAGCGTCGAGAACATGGACTGTAGGCTCCGTGTAACGCGGAGCGATCTTCACAGCCGTGTGCGTCCTGGATTAAAAAAAACAAACAAACAAAAACACGAAATACGGAATGCTTATCAAAGTGGAGAGAAGTAATACAGATTTATACTTCTAGCTCAAATTGAATTCTTAACTTTCAGCCAGTGACACACAGAAGATTTTATGTGCCAATTAAGGCCATGGGCGAAAATCATTTAGGATGCCCGGTGTACGGACAAAGGCAGAAAATGCCATCGTATAGCCTTCGATCAAAGTTGTTGCGACTAAAATTGTCCAGTGTGTCGCCTGCATTCAGCTCATACAAAGAAAAATTACCTGGAAGTTGTTGCTCCTCCAATGAGCAGTGGTATTTTGAGACCTTGTCTCTCCATCTCCCTGGCGACGTGAATCATTTCGTCCAGTGACGGAGTAATTAGACCTGACAAACCAATGATGTCGGCCTTTTCCTTCATCGCAGTCTGTAAGATCTTCTCGCACGGCGTCATCACACCAAGGTCAATAACCCTGTAGACAACAGAGACGAGAAAAAGTTATAAAACAACTTCATTGTAATTTCTTTAACTAAGAACAATCGTGTATCATTTTACCTGTAGTTGTTGCAGCCCAACACAACTCCCACAATATTCTTGCCAATATCGTGTACATCCCCTTTGACAGTAGCCAAGACAATTGTTCCATTGTATCGGCTCTGAAAACAGTAAAACGAATAATAAAATAATAATCACTAGAAGTATTCTTCTGAAAAATGAAATATTTGATGACCAATGGAGCCGTTTTTAAGTTCCATCTTTTTTTTATTTTTCTGTCTACTATCTTCTTTTGATTTGACTGACTGTAATGATTCAAAGCTTTTTTTTTTTTATTGTCATCTCGTCTTTGATTTCCACCGCGACAAGAAAACTTGAAGCGCTCCATAACAGGGTTCCATTAGCCAAAAGTATAGTGAGCTCAAGTTACTTAAGTGATACTGGGAACTCATACTTACCGAGAGGTCATCTTCGGGCCCAACTCCCTGCTCGGCCAGTTTCTCCTCGCGCTCCTTTTCCATAAATGGGATCAGGTGACCCACAGCTTTCTTCATGACACGAGCTGACTTAATAACCTGTTGAACGCAGTATGATTTGTTATTATACGGTGTGCTTCAGAGAAATGAATTATTAAACTGTCAATTATCAGTCGGTCAATTAGTCAGTCAGTCAGCCTGTCAGCCTGTCAGCCAGTCAGTTGGTCAGTCAGACAGTCAGTCCTTCCTTATTAGTCTGTCCCTTTATGTTTTTGAAACGGAGTGGATTTGCTCTTCCTACCTGAGGTAAGAACATTTTTCCTGCACCAAACAGATCTCCAACCACTCCCATACCCTATAAGGAAACAGAAGTCACAGGTCAGTTTTAACGGCGGATCCTCGACCCAAAGTAAGTCATCTATAATTCGCTATCAAGATGTCCCACCTTTTTCTTTTCTCGTTTTCAGCAACCGATTTAGGGACAATGAATTGTGACAAAACCTTACCTTCATCAATGGTCCTTCGATTACGTTCAACGGACGGGGATATCTTTCCGAACACTGCCTGGCCTCCTCGGTATCCTCTATCACAAATTTGTCGATGCCCTAAAGGATTGCAAAAATAAATTGTATCACTTTTTCACATTTAACAATTGTTTGTTTCAAAACCCTTTAGCCCCTAAGAGTGATCAGTAACTATTTTCCCCTATTAGCATCACCCCTAAAACAAACATTGAGGTCATGAGAATAAAAGAAATGATCACCAGCTACAGAAGCTCTTGATTGTTAACCAAATTCTCTTTGTCAGTACCATAGGAAATGTATAGAGATCAGTATGGAGAAATTGTATGCTGATGTTAAGGTGTAAAGAGTTAAACTAATGTTTTTGTGTTATTACCTTCACTAAGCCATACTCCAACCTCTCTTCCACGTTTCCATTTCTCCATTCATCTGTGGTTACCTGTTTCTTCGCTCCTTTGCCCATTCCCTGTGCATCACAGAAATATCATATAGACAGAGGTTTCACTAACTTTTCCCATAAGCATCTGCCCATGGTTAATAGGCGGCTGTGGTAATGAAGGTGATAAAGGGGTAATGAGGCCCCTTTCCCCTCGGGAAGGGGTGAGTTTACTCCTCCTATAACCGGCTTTCACAAAAACCCCAGACAGAGACATTTATTTCTTGTTTTATACCCGAGGGGTGAGATAATTCAAATAATAATAATAATAAAATATTTCGGTTTTAATAACTGAGTTGATAATGCAAACTGGTCACCGTAGAGAGCTCACGTTTCGAGCGTTAGCCCTCTGTCAGAGCGAATCATTCCTAACTAAGGGCTAACGCTCGAAACGCCGGTTAGCTTATAAACTCTTTACGGTGGCCCATTCGCATCATCAACTCAGTTGATAAAACCAAATTAGCTTATCATACACCAAAGTATACGTACCTGAGCATACTGCAGCAGTTTTTCAGTGCTGTTTGGATCTCTGTTCCACAATAAATCCTCGCACAATTGTAGAAGCTTTGGCTCGATATCATCATACACAGGCAGATTACCAGCATTCACAATGGCCATATCCAAGCCAGCCTGCAAGAAAATCACATGATCATGACTGTAAAAACCTCACTGCAAATAAAGAAAGAAATCTTCAGCAGAGCTAGGATGTCACTGAGTGGGAGTACTTCCCTCCCATAACTGGTCAGTGTTTGATTCTTGGATCTGATGTCAAATATAATCCTTCGGCACGAGCGTGTCTTCGCCGGCGGGAAAGTACGAGGCCTTGAGCGACGGAAATTGATGAGAAGTCGACAAGGGGTCTAGCATTTTCAGGCAGTGCCAAAAACTCTCGTCCACTCGTCTCAAATCTCTCCGCCGGTGGAGAAACGCACGTTCTGCAGCGCTAATAAAAGGAGCGTGCTTACAGGCGAGTCAAATATGGATTGAGCTTGTAATTGTTTCGTGTCCTTCGGTAACAGATTTTTTCTAGGTTTTTAGGTTTGCCTTTCTCTCCGGGACCAGTCCTTTAAGAATCGGTGGACCAAGATGTGCCACGACTCAAACTACTATTAACAACTGTACTAATTTTTTTAATTTTTGATCATTATTTCTCCCCGTTTATCTTTGGAACGCTCTCTTTTTGCGGTGAAATTTGAGAGAAACTTAATATTGTCTAAACCATGGATTACATTAGGAATTTAATTTAACCTTAATCCCATGGTACAGGAATACACTGTGCATGGCTTCTCTTATTGCGTCCATTCCACGGAATGAGAAGGAAAAGTTGGAGAGGCCACCACTGACTCTTGCACCTGGAAGGGTTTGCTAGAAAGAAAATAAAATCCATGGTAAATCAATTTCTTTTAATCTTGTACAAATTACGTTCTAGATTTCTGTAAACACGTTTTATGATGTGAACTGTAATTACCATTTTGGATAAGTGGACGCGAATGTGTAAATAGCTGGTTCCAACCCACGGTTTGAAAAATGAATGACGAAATTACTTTACATCTAGCTTAACGATAACCATAAAAACACGAACCTTTATAGCCCTGGTGGCTTCAATAAAGTACTTTCCATAGTTGTTGTGTTCTTCCATTCCTGTGGCAACTGTGAGAATGTTTGGGTCAAAGATGATGTCATTGGGGTTGAAGTTTATTTTGGACACCAGTAAGTTGTAAGAACGAGTGCAAATTTTGATCTTGTCTTCTAATTCTGCAGCCTGTAAGACAAAGGAGTCAATTGTCAACAAATAATTTCTGAAGTACTGATTGACCAGATGTATAGTCAAATGAAAACTATTCCCAGCCGCAGCGCTTACCTGTCCTTCCTCGTCAAATGCCATCACTACAACAGCAGCACCATAACGTTTGATGATCTTTGCTTTCTCCAAAAAGTCTTCCTCTCCGTTTTTCAAGCTGATGCTGTTCACGATACATTTTCCCTGAGTGCACTTGAGCCCAGCCTCTATCACGTCAAAGTTGGACGAGTCAATACAGAGAGGGACCTGGTGCAGAAAAAAAATGACAATAACCGTAAGTACGGCTCGATATATCACTTCACTGCAGTGGTAAAACTGTAAATTACAATGGGCAAAAACAATATGAAGACGATAGGAACAATGCATATAAACAAACAAACAAACAAACAAACATATAACACAAAGTAAAGAAGGATGCAGGAAAAATATTCAATAAAATCTTGGAATGCTACCAAAACATACATTTTAAAAATGTGCAAAGAGATGTGAACATAAACAATACTTCAAGTAGCCATTTTTATCGTTTTAATTTCATTTTTTTAATTCTTTTTCTCAAAGTCAATAAGTATTCAAATCTTATGTACTTTGATACCTTTGCAATTTCTGGTTCTGACGAAATCAAGTTGACAAATTTTGACATGGACGACACTCCATCCAACATGCCTTCATCCATGTTAATATCTAAAACTTGGGCGCCATTCTCCACCTGCAGCTTAGCTACAGCTAGTGCTTCCTGTGTGTTACAGAGAAATAAAGGCTTAAAAAATAAATACACAAGAGTGGCAAATTTTTCAGTGCTTAAAGAAACTAAGAAGCTAGTGTTGATCACCTTGTCTGGTTGACATAATTCAGTTTCCTTACCTCGAATTTCCCTTCCTTAATCAGCCTGCAAAATCTCCTAGACCCAGCAACATTGCAACGCTCCCCAATGTTTACAAACAAGGTGTCTGGTGTAATTCTCATGGGTTCAAGACCTACATGTTAAATGCCACCAAAGGAAATGTCATTTACTCTGAGAAAAAAAAGCAAGTTCAACAGGTACAAGCAAGGCAATTCCTTGTTGCTCAAGAAAAGACACGTACCTGAAAGATTCATGGCATTAGCATAATGATCTTCTGGTAATGGTCTTGGTTTGAAAGGTTTAACTGCCTCAGCTATTGCTCTAAACCAAAATAAGATAAAAAATTTAATAAAGAGTTGTTAGAGTAGCCAGCATTGAGGAGATTTAATTTCACAGGATTATGACGATGGAATGGCATCAAAGAGATTTTAATAGGGTATCAAAGAATATGGCAGTTAGCAAGAATGCATGTTTCCAGTAGTGCAAATTCTATACTAATGCAGTCAAAGAGAATGTAAAGCCAGAGAACTTGGAAAACAAACTATGCAGGGTGAAATATCAAGTCCACTGAACTGGTGTTGTTTTTTATAGCTTTTGGTTAAGCAAAAGTTACATTTCACACATATGGCCTTTTTAATGAAAGCACATTCTTTTAGTCAAAATTGCTAAGTAAACTTGGTGCACTGGATAGCAATTTGCCTCTCAAGTGACAGGTCCCATTGGGAAGGTGGTCTGGCAAGAGATTGTTTCCTGATTCTAAAAACATGTTGTACCTTGGAAGACACTGCAACATTGATGACCAAGTTTACAACAGACTAGTGCGACAATTGTGTTGCACTAATGCATCAATAAATCTTTTATCCAATTAATGTACATACTTGATATGAGCTGGTGTTGTACCACAACAGCCTCCCACAAGGTTCACAAGACCATCTTTAGCAAAATTCTGAAATTTTTGAAAGGCACACTAAGGTTATTACAAGATTAATAATAATTCTGTGCAAATAATTAAGGCATAGAATGGTGTGCACAGAAGAAGATGATAGTGTATCTACATGCTGTTAAGATATGTATTAACACATGGTTTACCTTTAAATGTTCTGCTGTCATCTCTGGTGTTTCATCATAACCTCCAAAAGTGTTTGGCAGTCCTAAGGCAAATAATCGTTTATTTACACCATGCAGTCATTTTTACTTTGTTTAAAATTGGATAGTTCTTGCTTAGCTGGGTAACGGCAAAGTCAGTTGCCTTTGGTTGATTAGTTTGTTAATCAATCAATCAAACATTTGAAGGTCACAGGAAGAGAAGAAATGATCGCCAACTGAAGAAACTCTTGATTGCTCTATTAATTCTACTTGTTGGCATCTTAGGGAATGTATAGAGGACAGTATGGAAATTATGCATGCTTAAGTTAGGGTATAAAAGGGCTCATACCCTCAACAAAGTTGCAGTGAAAAAAAATATATTGAAGTCCTCTAATTACCTGCATTAGGATAACAGAGAACATAGGATGTTGTGCACAAGCCCACTGCTTCTATGAATGGCCTCATTTCAGTAGCTCCTAAGGCACAGTTGAGTCCAATGCTGCAAATAAACAAGTACAGAAACATTAATGCCCACAACAAGATGATTTCCCTCCTCTCCCTCCCCTGCTTGGCTCAGACATTAATTTTTATCACCATCTAATAAATTTGGTATTTTTCTCCGGGAGGTGGGGGCTTGGATGGGGTCTTTATCTTGGTCACTCATGGAAGTGAAGGGGTGAAAGTTAACTTGCAAAACATCTGTTACATGCGCATTGTTATTAGGGAGTATAAGATGTCATTACGGCAACAAGTACTGGTTGAAAAAATCTAATTCACTGCATTCAACATTTCTGACAGCAAGACATCTTCACATTGACATAACATTTATGCATAGTGTTGAGTTCAAAGTTGAAGTGTGACTAAATTGCAGTTGAGGTTTCCTTGCTAAGAGGAGGTGAAAATTGATGATTTTACACTTTTGTTCCTGTATGGGACAGCTACGAATTGTAAAAAGTTTTAAAACGCACATGTTTTGCTATTGTTTTGCTCATTACATCTTTTATTTTGCTATGTTCTCATTGCTGTCCCCATTGTGGATTTCTTACAGTCCCTATTACTTCAACCTACCTCAGAGGCTTGGAGTGGGACACACTGATCACGAACCCATCAGTGGTTTGACCAGATAGTGTTCTACCACTCTTATCCACAATTGTGCCTGACACCTAAAGGAAATGATTTATAAATATGGTGAACCAAAATATGCCACAAACAACTGTCAAAGACAAGTTAATCCTTTCAACCACACCTCATACTGTCAATAAAATAAAATATTTTATATCAATAATTGTATGTGTCAATGGAAGGTGTACATGCCTGTCTGTAAGAATAATCATAAAAATTTCCACACATTTTGTTTTCATGATTACTTACAAATATTGGAACTGGCTTGTATTCCTTTTCAAAGAGCTGCTCAATAGCAAATAATGCTGCCTGAAAAATAGTCATGTTTAAAACTTTAACACAGGTTTTTAACTTTGTAAATTAACTTGTAACTTCTTATTGCCGTTCAGATACATTATCTAGGAAACAGGTTATTAGAAAAGAGAGGCTTGTTATGATTCAAAATGGAATTCTCCTGTCTAGTTTCCCATTTGGGAGAATAACTTCTTGCATCATGGGAGTTACAGCGTTAAATCAAGATACAAAAACTACAGAATTACTCTGTGGCACTTGTTGTCAAAAGAAACCTTCCAAAAATCAAAATATAATAAAAGCCACAGGCACAGGTGAAGGTCCCCTGACAAGATTTTGCATGCTGTCACTTCTGAATCCCATGGGAGTTTTCCCTTATTTTTTGTTAGTTACTGAAGTCACCATGAGCAAAAGCAACAGTTCATCAATTAGTTGTCATTTTTTTTTTTTTACTACCAGCAAACAGTTTGAAAACCTCACCAGCAAAAAAGCAATTTATTTTGGAGGTCACCTTTAGGCAGACTTGAATCTCAAGACAGTACAATTAACCACACGGAAACATGTGTCCTGTTTACCTTAGCATTTGCTGTGTCAAATATTGTTTCCACCATAAGAACATCGGAACCACCATCCAAAAGTCCTCTAGCTTGTTCTGCATAGGACTCTACCAACTGATCAAAGGCTAAAAAAAAAAACAATTAGTTCAATTGGTGAACAAACAAAAAAAACTTGTACACAAACCATTCATCTACATATTATCTTACATCTACTGTCTGGAAACAAAAAGACCTTCATTTATAATGTTACCTCAGTTAGTTACAGCATTTCGTGACCAAATAGTAGCAAAAGTACAGTCAAGAACCCTTTAAGCTAAGAGCTATTAGCCTCTAATTTCTCCTCAATGTATTGCTATGTCCAGAAATGCATGCAATAACGAAAATGGCAGATTTGACAAAATTTTGTCAGCCAAAGTGAATGTTCATGGATGTGACGATGTAGGTGAATTTTAGTCAAATTCTTCAAAGTAAAATCAGCTTGGTGGAATTGACGATTTCTAGTCAAATTTATATAAGCATAATCAGCTGAGTTGATTTGACAATTTTGACAAATTTTCGCACTGTATTGCCATTGGATCAAACAATGAGGTCAAGAGAATAAAAATAATAATCGCCAACTTAAGAATGTCTTTATTGTTAAAGAAATTCTCCAACTCAGCCTATCATAGGAAATGAATATTGGGCACTGTGGAGAATTTGCATACTGATGTTTGGGTGTTAACCCCTTCACTCCCATGAGTGACCAAGACAGAATTTCTCCTTACAATATCAATACAGTATCAACCAGATAAGTTAGGAGGATAAAGAAGATACAGAGAATCAATTTAGGGATAATTGGCTGATCTGATACTAATTTCTCTGAACTAACATTATAAGGATTGACAGTAAGGAGAATTACAAATTTGATCTGGGAGTTAAAGGGCTAAATAATAGACTTACTGATGTTTCTGTATCCTGGATTTTCAACACTAGGTGAGATTGAAAGTGTCCTGTTGGTGGGACCCATTGCACCAGCCACATATCTTTTCACTCCTTAAAATATTTTATTAATTGCAAATTAGGGTAAACAGTTGAAACTATTCATTGACATTTAGTATACATTTCATAGATTTCAATATGCAATTAAAAAATGTTTAATTCAGATCAAACAAAAAAAGTTGAATTAAAAGTGAGGGAGCAGTTCTCTTTCAGAAAAGCGAAAAGGAAAATCCCAGGAAAATCAGGAAAATCCCAGATTATTCCAACAAATGAAACTTGAAACCATAGAGATTGCCAACTGTCTGGGATGGTTGGTGACAAATCTGGAAAATTGGGAGTGTTTCTACTTTCCTGATGTGCCCCAAATTTCAACGACGATTGGCAATCATTCACAATGTATGAAAACTTCAATTTCCACTGTCTGGGACATTGGCAATAGTTTGAACTTGCTAGTAGCACTTAAGCTGCTTAGCTAAAATACCCCTGAGTTACACAATAATAAAAATGGCAAATGGAAGAATTTGGGAAAGACATGTGTCAATCTCCCTTATATCCACAAAATCTGAGACAGTTGGGAAAAAGTGAAATGGCCGATCACCTAAGATTTTCCAAACACATGAAAATAAGCTTAACAACATCAAGCATTATTCTCTGATGGACTTTATACCTGTGGCAACAGCAACCTCAATGGCTGCCTTCTTAGCAATTTCAGCTGATGTTTTGTTTAATCTGTACACCTAATAATAGAATGGTAAACAATTATTGTATTAGTTGTCAGACTAAAAATAATAAAAATATCATAACACTAATAATTGATACTGACAAATAAAAATCATTATTATCTGAGTTATAAATCATGATGATGATTTTATTGTCATTCATTAACAATTATTATTCCTCAAAACTATTACCAACAATTATCATAGGTTAACAATAAATTTTGATTGTTAATTAAAGGTACAGCCTTTAGTTCTCTAACATTCTTTACAGTGTTCACTTCGTATCTATGCTTATTGCAGCAGAATTGCACTTACCAAGTTTTCAGTTCCGTAATCTGCTTGTGCAATTGATGTTCCACTGAAAGTGTTGGTTTCAATAAAATCTGATCCTGCTTCTAAGTAACCCTGGAGTGAGTACAGAGATAGATAACATGCTTAAGAACTTAATTTAAACATGTAAGTATGTTAAGGTGGATCTGTAATTAATATAATTCATTGGAGATAATCTTACACTCTATATTAATATAATTGACACAGGAATTACTTTATGAACACCCCAGCCCAGCTCAATACTCTCCCAGCAATTCATTGCTTGCAGTTTCCTTTACACATCTATCCCTTCGAAAGTTTCTGCTATTAATAAATTCTAAAAAATATTCTTTTTAACAAGCAACTTCACAACTAGCCAACCAAAAAAAAAAGAATTTTTGATCATGGATAACAGAAGTATTTAAATATTTATCTTCCTTACAACTTAGATTTGTCTTCTAAAGAATGGGAAGAAACATAACATATCAAAAGTTTAAATACTTCACTTCATTTAAAATATCCAGTTAAAAATTTTTTCTACACAGTGCAATAACAGAGTTTACATGTTATTTGTCCATACCCTGTGAATCTCCTCTATAATATCTGGTCTCGTTAAACTTAGGAAGTCATTGTTTCCCTTCAAATTGTGTGAATGATTCTTGAATTCTTCTCCTGCAATCAAGAAATTAAATGACAGTTCACAAACAAAATAATAATAATATGTACAAGGTTTACTCTTTAACCTTCAGAGTGACTAGCAACTAATTTCTCCTTACATCATTGTTGGTGAATCAAACATAAGATCAGAAGAATAAAGAAATTGATCAATATCTGGAGGAGCTCATGATTGTTAAACTGATTTTCCTTGTCAGTACCATAGAAAAACATATTGAGGACAATTTGGAGAATATGCACATATGATAACTGTTAAATCAAATATAAGATCAGAAGAATAAAGGAATTGATCAATATCTGAAGGAGCTCATGACTGTTTTCCTTGTCAGTACCATAGAAAAAATAAAGAGGATAATGAGGAGAATATGGATGCTGATATTAGAGTGCACAGGGTTTTGGATACTTGCATCTAAACTTTAAACAGTGCTTTGCTTGTAAGTCTCTTTACAGCTGATTTATAATAAACTAAACTGAATTATACACTAAATTTGATTGGTTCATGCTTATAATTTCTTGGAGGACAGACACCTAGATAAAGTTACCATTGAAACATTTTGCTTTTTTACAATGCAAAACAAATATATTCCATTTTGCTGTGTGACACTTTAATGATTAATCACAGAAGACCTTAAAATGCCTTGACCCTTTAACTCCCAGATCAAATTTGTAATTCTCCTAACTGTCAACCATAAAATTCTTAGTGTTAGTTCAGAGAATTTAATATTGAATCAATTAATCATTCCCAAATTGATATTTTTCTTTATTCTTATTGTGTACCTGGTTGATATTGTATTGACATTGTAAAGAGAAATTCTGTCTTATTCACTCATGGGAGTTAAAGGGTGAAGAACCTCACTGACATACTGTTACCTTATTTTTATGTCATTTGTGATCTATTGATGAACTGACACATATCGACGTAGATTCGAATTGTCAAGGAAATTATACTATTAATCCAAAAGATCAAAATAACACAGTGGTTTCGGAATTTTTATGTCAAAAAAAAAGTTGAACTACAATATAAAAATTACAGAAACTTATGCCCTTCAAGAGGCAGATCGGCTATACAAATAGTGCATTAAATCACGGCTGAGAATTTCTGCTTTGTCTAAATGTGTAATTAAGTCAAGCCTTACACACTTGTCTAAATGTGTAATTAAGTCAAGCCTTCCACACTTCTCAGTTGTACGATCCTAATTTTTCTCTACGAAGACAAAATTACGTTTTCATGGGACACCGTAGGAAGTCATAGGACATCGATTTCTTAATATTCTTCCCATACTACTTTTGTCAGTTTTCTAAAACCGTGGTATCAATCAGTCGTCACGTAATTCGTGCAGTGATTTTACTGAATGATCTATCGTAAGCTTGCACAACCTTCAACATTGCGTGACATGAACATATGAACGCAACAATTACCAAGAACAAGGCCTATTCGACTGAATTATTTGATGCAGTGATAACAAAAAGCCTTTGAAGTAAACTGGAAAATTGAACAATCCAACTAATTGTACAAATTTAGATTAAAAATACCCCTAAAAGAAGATCGAATTCTGATCACTAATTACGTCACACACCGTTTTTCGCTATTTTACTAGGCCAACTATCAGTATCAGAAAACTGAAGTTACCTCTAAAATCCTCTTCTTCCAAATGATAACTTTGGATCATGGTCCCCATTCCACCATCAAGGATCATTATTCTTTGCTTTAAGGTTGCTTCTATTTCTGCTGCCACGTCTGATGGAACAAACATCCCAACGAACAACAGCTCAAGATCAGAGAACAGCTGCGCATCGTAAACAAATTAAAAAAAGAATCTTTTACAATTTCACTTTCTTACCTGTGGAGTCAATTAAAGGATCGTTTACTCTAATAGTTGGAGGCATTTTGGAGAATAGAAATGAAGTCTTGTTAGTCAGTCGAAAGGGAAGTCTTCTCCTTCTAAGTAATGTGCCGGCTATTTTTGTCACTATCATATAAATCTATCCGTCCCGCCATGGTAAATTGCGCAAATTAACGGAGCTTGGGTACTAAGGTTAGGCAATATGTAGAAGAATCTAAGGCCTGGTATGAATGGTCAGTTTGGCAAGTATTTTTACTCAGCATCGTGATATTACCAATCAAAAATTGTGTTAGATTATTGCGAGTCATACGACTCGTGCGTGGAATTTCCCAGAAAGAGTTTTAACTAGCCAGCGGTTCAGTGAGACATAAGTTTTTCGGTGGTATAAGCATCATCAAGGTAATATTCTTTACACGTAACATAACAACATGTCGAAATTTGAAAACATTGTTTGACTTTGAGATCCAACTAAGTTTTTCATGGAAAAAGAACTGGAAAAATACCGCGCTAGTCGAGCTGAAAAGTACAGGGAGACCAAAAAAATCTTATGGAGACCCTCTTTTTCTGTTCAAGGTTTGGGATTCAGCAGATTAACGTCATGGTTTCAGAGACATCCAGTTGATCGTCGGGATGAGGAAGTTTTGCCTTGGTTTATTTTGTTCTTGAAAGTTCTCTTCTGGATCTTACTATGGGGTTTCTTTATTCAGATAGAGTTTGGAACCGTGTTTTTCTTTCTTTCAATGTTTTATTGGGTTTATTCAAGCATGCAAGCCAACACCAGAAAACCGTGGGAACCCAGCGCTTATTCTGTGTTCAACGAGAACTGTGAAGCCATCGACGGAACTCTGAATGCAGAGCAGTTTGAACGAGAATTGAAATTTGGAGCTGGAGCAGTTTCAGCTAATTAACTGGTGAAATGAATTTATATGCAGGGGACTCTGTATTTTGTAGCTAGCAAAATCATCAGTGGTTGACATCTCATTCAATTGCCTGCTGTCATACTTGTTGTCATCATCATCACCATCACCATCAAAAACGGTCAAACCACATCTGACCTTTGAAACTCTAACATCAGTATGCATATTCTCCATACTGTTATTTATACCTTTCCTGAGGTGTGGACAAGGAGAATTTGTTGAACAATCAAGAGCTTCTTTTGTTTGTGATCATTTCTTCTATTCTCGTAACCATATAATGTTTGATTCAGGGGAGATATTGTAAGGAGAAATTAGATGCTAGTCACTCCAAGCAGTTGAAAGGTTAGCAAACAGCATCTAGCCAGCTGACATCAAGTCAAAGTCTCTGTTAGGTCAATGGTCTCCTGTATCACAACTTAATTAAATATATTTTTCTGATATATACCAAAAGTAGCTTTTGATCTATCATCATTGTAATCTCTGCAATTTAAAGGCTTATGACAACATTAATAGTTAGTGGGTTTTGGGGGCTATTTTTGCACGCCATAAAACAATGTGATTTTTGGAGAGAGATGATTTTTGTTTTGTCTTATGGATGGGACCAGAAAAATATCCTGAGTCCTCATGGGGAATCAAACTGTAGACCATCAGACTTAAGGCTCTGATGCTCTACTAACAAGCCACAGAGAACATACAACAAGCTACACCATTACTAGATTCATATGTGACATGTCCTGCAAACTGTGATGATCAGCAGTTTAAAAAGTCAAGAACAGCCATGACCCTCCCACGTGAGCTGCAATTTTAGTGATTGCAGAAAAGAAACCTGCAAACAAATTAAGACTTTGATGGGATTCTAAACCCATTCCTCCCAGATACTAGTTGGGTCAAAACTGAATTTGAGTTAGTCCCCACAGGCTCCTGTAACAGTTGCTGTCAGACAAACTTGACTGTAGTATGCTTTGGCACCTTGCTAATATTAGCCATCATACTTCTCATCAACCTAACCGGGGGGGAAGGAAGGAATAGTAAATCAAAACAAACATATCTTGACTCTCCCCAGGTCTCTTCATTAGTCTTTCGTTTCTTACGTCTCGTGACCAAAATGGCGACTAAATCAGGATCATAGGTACCAAGCAGGAACTTCTCTATTGAATTAGTCGCCATGCCTGTTCAAACCTACAACATTCCACTAGTGTTACCGAGTCTTCGAAGAGAAGAATCGATTAACCAAATTGTGGATTCGTTGGAATATTTGGAGAAAGTGTCTAAAGACATATTCACCCGAATCAGCAATCGAGTTGCGGAAAACAAGAAACGATTAGAGGCCATAAATTATCGGGCTGATTTGGCACAAGCCAGAATCGATAAAATAAAGGGGATCAAGAAAGCTACGAGGGTGTTTTCGAGTGCGAAATACCCAGCTCCGGAGAAACTTGAGCCGTATGAAACGCTGTATTCTGAAGAAAATGAATTGTCTGAAATAAAGCGTCAAACGTACAACCTGAATTCGAAGTTTGTCCCAGTTGATGAACGAACATTGAAGGATAAACTGCAATTCTACAATGTACACTTGAATGTTAAGAAGAAACAGGACGAAATGAAAGGGGAAGGGCTGGGTTCCCTTCCGAAGAATCTTCATTCCGTCAGTTCGTTGTTGCTTTTCAATACTACTGAAAATCCGTACAAGAAGTATGTCATGTTAGATCCGCTTGCCGGTGCGGTTACCAAAACAAGGGCCAACATTGAAGAAGACGAGGAAGACATCGGAGCAGCACCCATTTCCATCACTCAAGGAGAAGCGCTCGACAGATTGACAGCACAAAATTACTTCTACGTTCCAAACTTGGGAGATGTACCGGAGATTGATGTACCTGTGTACCTTCCGGATCTTCCTGGGATTGCAGATGACCTCTCTTACAAGTACTTCTTCAGAATTTTTTTATTTTTGCATGTATTTATGAATTTCGTTAGTTAGGTATTCAGTTAGGTAATTGTTTGTTTATTGGCAGAGACCAGGTCAACATTATGAAATATTGTTAGTGTAGAGTGTTAACTCAGAAGTGATTAAAATTTAAATTCTTCTCAAAAAAATCCTCATCTCATTCAGCAAACAGGTCATAAAAAAACTTAAACTTATCAGGTAATCATTTCAATCTAACAGCAAATTCTCATAACTAATTTACAAGGAAATTTATAGCAGCAAGGGGGAGAATTAACAATCAGATCTTGGGAAATAAAGGGTTAAGATCCAGCTTTCACTTGTTTCCTGCCATAGTTGTTCAGTCTCCATTTGTCTCAATAAGAACTCCTGTGGTGATTTAAGCAGTCCATGAGAAATTTCAAGCAGCCCTTTAATTATGTTATGAGAGTTATTGAATCAAGGAAGAGCTAAATCCATTTCTGTGATCAACGCACAAAATAGATTTTAGCCATTTTAATGCTTGCATCACTCTGAGTCTAAGTTTTGTCTTTATTCAATCTACAGTGCAGAGCTTGGTCCTTCCATAGCACCATCACTACCTGGTTCAAATATACCTGAATTACCTGATGTCCTGGAGGGAGAAATACCACAGACAGAAGGAGCCCCTCCTCCCCCTCCAGCACCTGGTCCAGCTCCCTCACCCCCTCCGCCACCACCTCCTGGACCTGATGCTCCACCGCCCCCTCCTCCCCCTCCTCCTCCACCTCCTCCAGGACCGGAATCAGCACCTCCCCCTCCTCCTCCCCCTCCAGTGGATGGCTCCTCAGGAGGTAAGTTAAAAACTTACAGTGAAACCTGTATTTATAACCCCTCACATCCTTACATAAGTACAAATATTATCCTTACTGTTCTCCATATATTTCCTATGGTATTGACAAGGAGAGTTTGTTAGAAAATCAAAAGCATCCTCATTTTTTATTGTTTCCTTGACTCTCATTACCTTAATGTTTGATTGAGAAGTGATACTGTTAGGAGTAACTGAATGCAAGTCACTTTTTGGGATTTAACGGTAAAGCGAACGCTAGAGATACCCTCACTAGTATCTGCTTAATGCACATTTTCTTTCATGCTTACCACTAATTTGGACCTACTTTAAATGTGGAACTTTCTGTGGGCCAAATTATTAAAGGAAGAAAAAGATTAAGAGCTATTTTTTTGGCAAAAACCTTTGTAGGAAAAATTATAAATTCTTCTTTTTTCCATTCACCACCCACTGTATATAACAGTAATGCAGCTTGAAGGTGTTCTACTGATTTTGATTGTATGATCTAGGTGATTTACTGGTTCTGGTTGCTGATAAAATTCATCACTGTTACAATCTTTGGTTCTTTATATTTGTGACATTGTTTTTATGTTTCTTGCCTTCATGTCCATCAACCAAGTAAATTTCAAAAGTTGTTTACAAGGTGAATCATTTAGCGATGTTTAAAAACTATCAATAAACAACTATGCACATGAGCTAAACATTGTTCCCCTGATGGTACTTAGTTGTGATCTTCCAATGGTCAGCAGAAACCATTTATTCTTTATGTTTCCACATCTTCATTGCAGCTCTTCCCACCGATGTCCCTGCAGCAGTAGCATCTGATGGTAGGGCATCTTTAATGGAATCCATTCGCAAAGCAGGTGGCAAGGGCAATGCTAAATTACGTAATGTAAAGGAGAGAAAGCTGAAGAAAAAAGCAGAGAAAGAGCAGTCTGCCGTCAGTGGTGGGGGAGGAGGTGACCTCATGGGTGACCTCTTTGCTAAGCTGTCCATGCGTCGAAAGGGTATCTCCGGGTCTAAAGGTGAATCTGGTGGATCATCTGAAGTGTCCACGGGTGGAGGCTCTGCAATGGACAGGATCTCAGCAATGATTCCGGCTCCTCCAAAGAGTGATCGCACAGATTCTTTGCATTCAGGGGGAAGTGATGATTGGGATTAATAAGTAATCAATCACTAATTCTCAATCTTGGCCTGATCATCTTTATCTTGGACAGTTGCTTTATACTGTAAGAAGTGGATTTTTGCAAAAGAGTAGAGAACATAAAATGATTTTGTTTACTTTTTTGGGGTGTAATGTCATATCACAGACTAGAAATTAAAATTTTTCAATTTGACCCTTGTAAAAAAGGAAAATCTTCTCTGTTGTGTTAACAATAAAGAAGCAAGAAGGGGAAATGGCTTAGTTCAGGCTGACGGAGACAAACAAAAACACAGTTGTCTGGGGACCAGCTGCTTCCTTAGTTTTCTTTTCCTAGCATCTTCTATTTTCGGCATACATGCCTTACCATTGAGGTTTATGAAAAAGAGACAACATTACCCTAATTGGAAGGAGAAAACTTCCTCAGGTCGCTCCCAAGTATAGCAAAGTAAAATCATGTGGCTGGGGTTTGTCTTCAAGGCAAATTTTGTTCTCTTGTTATTGGTCTCAGTGACCCACCTCTTACTTTGAATTGAGTGATGTTCTATTTACAAACTTATGAACACAGACTTATTCCCAGAGCAAAATTAAAAGTATTATTATGAAAAGTGAATTTCACAACATACCAATATTAATACAGAGTTATTAGATATTATAAGTGTATATTAGTTTTTCAGAGAGAACTTTGTTTTAGTGAATCTTTCTCAAGATTTTTATTCCTACTAGGGTAAAATTAGCAACTTGTTTGAAAGGTTTGATAAATATCTCAGTAGTGCCAATTATCCATTTCCGAGAAAACATCTTTGAAAAAAGTTTTGTGTAATTATGGCAAATGATGATTTGTTATAGAATTTTTGAGCTTACTGTCATTTTAAAACCACTGAATTTGTTAAACATCAGTGTTAAAAGTTATTGTTTTCCTTAAATATCCGATATTTTTATATCAAGTACCAACGAATTTGTAGTGTTCAAGATCAACAGGCTATCAATTTTTAAAGAGTTCTGCCTTTTCCAAGTGGTGGGGGCTTGGCAAAATGATAGCAGGTTACAATGATAATGTAGGGCTGGTTTCTTTTCATTGACATAGTCAGTGTAAGCATAATTTTTCAGTCTGTTGAGACTCGTGGTCTGTTTGTGAAAGAACCTCTGATCTATTAGTACATGTCAGTGATGATGTAGGTCAAGAGGAATCAAAGGTAAATGGTAGATTGTAAACTTTCTACACCGCACAAGCCTAAAATGGGTGTTTGCCAAGGTACACTGGTCATTTCTACCGCGAGGAATTAGTCAGATTTGGATTGTATACTATGATGCACTTTGTGGTTATAAAAAATTTATGAGAATTCTAATAGTAATCTTTTACCAGCTGCTTCTCCAGACTCAAGACAAGTTTTGTTTCATCTTTTAAAGTTTAGTTTTCAAGGTTTGCAAACCTGTCCAAACAGTGCCAAGGAGTGAAATACATTGTTTGAAGAAATGTGGAGTAACATGTTCATAACTGCTCTGTCATACACTAAATATAATACAAGCTTTGAACTGAAAATGGGATAGGATTGTCAGAATGTTGTTTAAGAAAAAAAAAATGTTTCTTCTTTGAACATAACATGATATTACCATAAGGAAATACTATCCCACACAAAGTGACCCCTATGTTTCAAAACATGCCTACCACTGTCAATGTCTGCTCAAGAATTTTGGGCGAGAGCAAGCTTGTCCAAACATTTTTAACTGAAGTGGAAGATGCAAGAAGTGTTTAACAAATGATTTAGACTTATTACTTCAAACCAGCTGGTGCTGCTGTTGTAGCGGTGCACTGTTTAAATACATCACCTTGTGCTCTACTTAGACAGAAGTTAACTGTGGTAATTTAGTAACACAACCACTCAGATGAACTAAAAAATCCATCAATCTCCACATCACCCATTAACATTCACCAAATATGTTTGATTTCCCTAGAAGGGATAAATTTGACCTCTAAAAATGTGGTGGAGAATTTAATGCTAAATACCTTTCCTTCTATCACTTCAAAAAAATTTTCAGCAACGTTTTCACGTCTACTTGACAATTGCCGAAATTATACTCCGACAAAGGATAGAGAATAATAAACGAAGTTATCTTTAGTTGTAGGTTGCCTAATTATTGTCAGTCTTTGGTAAATATGCTGAATGGGACAAGTCACTGATGTAAATATAGAATGCCTATTTCGAGAGTTGATGCCAAATTTCACGTCACTGGAACAGAGGGCGAAAAAAAAACAGGATACTTCTTTAACACTCCTTAGCGTCCTGAATAAAAGGATAGAGGATGTTCGGTACGATCTAAGTCTAGACAAATCCAATTTTCATTGTTCTGTTGTATAAGTTTCAGAGCGTTTCAGAAAATTGTAATTGACTTGAATAACTTTGGAATTAAAGCAAATCTACACCAATATCTACGGAAATTTCCACAAATATACTTAAATTGGAAGGTTTTTCAATTCCTAGGAAGATTAACCAGTCGAAAAGGATAGACAATGTTTACATACGCATGTGACTGAGCACTGCAGATGTGATCAAACGTTCTAGAATGCAAATCAACAATCATTAATTCGAAGCATACCTCATCTGCAATATTCGAGGCTCAGACTTTACCAAAACTTTAGCACTTTCACACACGTTCCATTATTGCCATTGCTCTAGTAAACATGTTAGATGTCTCACGAATTTGATGCTGCAGATATAGGAATTGAAAATACGCAAAATGACGCAGCTAATAGATTCAAACATTGAACAATAGCATATCAACTCTGCTTCACCAAAAACTCGCAGTAAAACCACAAGTCCATTTCTGTGATCAATCTGTATTTATTAGGCTGTGATGTTACACCAATTCATCAAAAGCAGAGATCTACATGATTTTTTTCTTTAAACGTCCACAATCAGTTAAAAGAGTTCCATTTAGAAAATGGTTAACGGGAGGCGACAAGTCCATGATGAGTCGGGATGCCATGAGACATCAGTGCTGCATTGACCGAAGGGTCCTTGTAGGCACCAGTGGTGGAAAACAGGCTCCGGAGAACGTTGAGCTCTTTAGTGAGAAAATCCACCTTGGATTGTAGGCGGGCATTCTCCTCTTGCAGCTCGTCAACTTTGTGCTGGGTCTCCACATATTTCTGCTTGCTCTTGAATCTGCTCTTGCGGACCGCAATGTTGTTTCGCTCTCGTTTCAAACGATATTCATCGCTTCCTTTCTCAACCGCTTTCTTCAAAGACGACGAACCACGACGGGATTTCGGCGCCTTGAGTTGCGAAGAGATGGAAGGCAGCCTGTTCGACTTCAGCTCAGGTTCTTTCGCCAGGTTAGTTGATCTGTACGTCACAGCCGGTTTAAGGGAATTTACTTTGGAATCTACTTTTACAATCTTAATGGGAGAGTACCCCCGTTCTACCTCGGGTAAATATGGCTCCACTACTTCTCTACGCTTGGGCTCTTTGGGTGCTAAATACTTGCTCAAATCTTCGGGACTGGTACTCAAGGTGGCAGGATCCAGGTAAGAGGCAAAGTCGATCGCGATGTCATTCAGATACGAGCAATTCTCATCCAGATCAGAAGCAGAGCTCAGATCCACATCTTCGAACAGCTCAGAGCAAGGAGAATTCGCTGCTGACCATTCGCCTGACTCATACAGATCGAGAACATCCATAGGAGCACATGATGAATATCCGCAAGATTCTGGCTCTTGCTTCAGTTCCAGTCCGTCAAAGATGGGGAGGGGGAAATCTAGTTCCTTTAAGGGAGGTATTTTGGCGACTTGTCCGGTAAAATTCTTAAAAAAATGGTCGGGTTTTTACACCCTAACGTTTTCGACGACGCTTCCGAATCTTAACGTTGGGAAGAGGGGCGATTGGGGGCAGACAGCGCATTTTAGGGCGGCCTTGAAAGACTCTCTTCCAAATTTAGACATAATAACAATTGCGTTCCTCTGATTGGCTCATGTCAAACGTAGTTGCTATTAGAAACTTGCCCCGGAAGAGCTTCCACGCGGGGGAGGGTGGTATTTCGAAATCTGCATGTGATTATGATGTCAGCATATAATCGGAAGAATTCGCAATTTCATAGAGAGTCATTTCCATTTTTAACTCTTTTCTCCGTTTTATCTTAGTGCTTCTGTAACTTAGCTCTCGCAAAGTGAGCAAAATTTGAGAAGACTGAAAAGGGGCGTTCCCAATTATCTGGACAACATAAAAAAAATGCTCCCCCCGGGATTCTAGCAGGAATTTTGTCAGGCAACACTCACGCAAAATTTAATTCACAGGCCAGGTGTGTGTCGAATAGTTAACTTCTGCTCTTCCTGTACGCAATCTGCCATGAACAAGAATTTCCGAGGGTCATCAGCTACAGCTACTCCCATTGAAAGACGTCATGGGATAGTCAATAAATGGATATTCAATACAATGCCTTTAAATTGATGATGGTCACCTCTCGCTCAGGTGTTAGCTCCAAGTTTCTTGGCAACTGAAGAAATGTATAAGCATTTTTTGTAGGATTTGATTATCTCTTGCTAAAACCTCCAGAACACCTGTCCTTGAAGACGGTTTAATTAGTCCTTATCTGCGTTCTTCCGGTTCGAGGGAAAAATGCTGATACGCTGTCGAATCCAAAGAATTCGATGAGGGTTGAAAGGCTCTACTTGAAACAGACAAAATTATTCGTTTCAATACGATTAGCGTTATTAGGCGTTTTTATGTCACGGTGGATGATAGACAGTCTACCCAAGACTAACTTGTCTTACCAGAATTAAAGTATGCATTATCGAATGAAAATTCATTGGGACGGATTATAGAATAAATCTCGGCGTGTTATTAGGCGAAGAGCTGGTTAGACTGCCAATCAACAATGATCAATAATGATCAGTCAGACAAAGATCTCGTCAGATTAGGTTTTCTGTCTCCCTTTACTCATAATTTCTGTCTCCACCAATACTATTTGGCAGTACTGGTTCACTTATCGCCTTTTTCCTTTTATTTTTCTTTTTTTTTTTTTCCGGTCTGTAGTATTACTAGATCGTCTTCGACAGCTCTGGCACTGACATTTGCCAGATCTAGGAATCGGGGAGTTGGGGCTTGGGGTTGGTTTGTTCCAGACTTTCAGTTTGTAAAACGGAGCGAAATATGGAACAGCGCAATAGCAGCGGTGGAGTGAAAAAACGAGAGATCTTTGGGTCGGGTCGGGTCGGGTCGGGTCAACCAAAACTCCCTCGCTTTTTCACTCAGCCGCTACTAATCACGCCGTTTACAATTGCGCTTTGCTTTACTTACTGATCGCCCGCAACAGGTTAGCTAGGGGCAATTTGGTCCTTCAGACCGTCCCCCTCGGATCCCCACGTATCCCCACAAAGTTATTTTTTCTTATGTTTTGTTTTCTCAATCGAGCATCTGATTGGTTGACTGCCCTCTATTGACCGCACTCGATCTACCTGATCAGTCTACCTGACTAGTCTAACCTGATTTTAGCCTGACACTGTTTTGATCCGTGGAAGACTTAACAGAACAAGGTTATGACTGTTTGTGCTGTTAGCTAGAAAAAGAGCAAATAAGAATATTTCAATAATCTGCGTTTGCTTTCTTTGGGTTCGCAGGGCTATGTAATCGCAGTTCGGTGAGAGATCTTCGAAGTTGTTTCGTGTTTACAATCGCGAGGTGCCCTCAGTTCTTAAATGGGTAAACTGTAGCGCTGTACCAATATAAGTTTTATAGACACGATGCCTTCGTCAGCCAGTGAAGAGATTGTCTTCTTTGTCAATGGCAGAAAGGTACGTTATTCACGTATAGACTGCGAAGAGATACACGATTTTGAGTTCAAATGCACGCACGCCACACACCCTTGATCTGGTTTATATCTACAAGTTTTAGTCTAATTTTATTCATCGCAGGTTGTCGAAGCAAAGGCACAGCCAGAAATGACTTTGCTCTGTTATCTGCGAAATCATTGTATCCTTTCATTACCATGCACATTTTGATCCCTCTGTTTTTGGATTTTTGTGGACGGGCGCTTTACAAAAATATTAGCAAGTCATCTGGGTGATTTTTCAATTCAATGATTCAAGATGGTTTGACTAAAACTTACTGATCGTAAACTTGACGTGCTGTGCATGCTTTGTGAGTCTTAAGCACAAATGTCACGCCTTCCTGACCTTAGGACCTTCCTGAGGTTAACTGAAAATTGTAATTTGATCCATTATGATCAGCAAACATGTGAATCACTGACTGGCTATTGATAGTGACACGTATAGAGCTCATTGTTTCGATTTTGGCCATTATATGTTATGAAAATCGGCACGTGAGTAAAATTTGATTGGCAAATTTAAATGCATGGAACGCACATGTGTTCGAAGGAGATGTCTGTGGCTGTCTATACAGGTGTTCTTTGTTCTTTCCACTGGAATAATGTACAAACTTATGATTAAAGGTTAAGGAAAATATTTGCATGTTGGTTCAATAAAATCATGCATGAATATGCAGAGTAACGTGACTTTCAGAATTTTGCTATGTTCTGTTTTATTTTTATTTTTTGTAATTCACTATGAATTAATTCCACAAAGTTAACAGTTATCCACCGTTCTGTTGGAGACAAGTGGTTAACAGAAACAATGAAGTAAATAATTATTTGAGTACGCACCTCACAAAATGAAAAAAAAAAATATCAGATGCTCAGTTGGATTTTATATGAAACTGGTTAATCTTTGTAGCACGAAGTGATTCTTATCAGCCATGAGCAAATCCTCAATCCAAATTCCAAATTCCTCTTTTTTTATCATGCAAATAAACACATTTTCTAGATGCTTTTTGTTTAAGCATCTCTGAGGGATTAAACTTTTTCAAATTTCTTTTTTTTTTTTTCAACAAAGGATGTTTAATTTTTTTATATAGTGCTTGACAGCAGATGGAAATCATGATTTTCAGCTTAGGATATGATTGTGGGATGATACAATATTTAACAAAACAATTATTTCCTACTATGTTAATTTTCATGCTCTTTGGCAGCTCGAAGGAGAATTATACTTGCCTCAAGATATTGTCTTCAAGGTAGCCAATCAACATGCAGGAAAAAAAGCACTATTCAACTGAGTAGTATTCAACAACTATTTGCTGAACGCAAAGTGAATATTTTGAATAAACCTGAGACGATTTTTATTTTCTGTTCCATTTTGCTCAAGAAATATGTGTACAAGGGAAGATATATCTCATATTCCTTACAAAGGTAATCAGTGGGTTTGACAGGTAGCAAGCTTGGATGTGGTGAAGGTGGCTGTGGAGCATGTACTGTTATGATCTCTAAGTATGATCATGGAAATAATAAGATTAAGTATCCTTTTGAAACTCGAAGTCTGCAGAAAACTGGAAGAGGTTGAATGGTTATGGTGATGCAACAAGGGGGAGCTTCATGAGGTTTCAGATCCCCCTCCTATTTTATGTGCTTACTTCTTGTCTGAAACCAAAACTCTAGTAACAACCAAATGTCATGTTCACTTAATATTCAACAAGAATTGTTTGAAATTTAATTGTCTTGAATATTTGTTTACTTTTTTTGAGGCCTTTTTATAAGAGAAAAAGAATCTTTATTTTCTGAGTCAAAGCTCAACCCCCCTCCCATCATTATAAAAATTCCTGAATCAAGAGGTTTGGCTGTATGCAGGAGAAGATTGTTAAAATCTGAAGTATCCATGGCCTATGTTACAGATTTCAAGTTGAGTTAACTTTGTGTCCTCTGACCTTGACATTAACTAGACATTTCTCTGCAAATGGCTGTTTGATGCCATTGTGTGCAGTTGATGGAATGGCTGTAACCACAGTGGAAGGAATTGGAAGCACCAAAACTGTCTTGCATCCTGTGCAGGTAACATACAACTTTTCTCTATGATATCCATACATTATCCAGCAAACAGCTTAATGATGAAAATAGTCAAACTCATTAGATAAAAGTTGTTATTTTGATTTGACACCAAGGAAGTGTATAGCAGCTGGAGGGGAGTGTCATTCCGAGTTTGGGAGTTAAAGCATTAAAAACATGTATATCACATGTGCACTGATGGAAACATTATGGACAGATATATAGGATCAAATAGAATGTTAAATTATAGCAGTTTTTAAAGTCCTAACTATAACTGGAGTGCAAAGTTATTTGAACATGTAGAGAGTCAATAACTCAGGGTGAGGTGATGAAATAATCCAGTTAAGTGGCAGATCAGAGGAGGATCTCAAGTCTTCTTAGATATTTCTGCTCCCTTAGCCACAGAATTATGCATTGTGGGTAACAGCAGTTTGTTTGAGGCAGCTCTGTTAAGAGTTGGGAAATAAGAGAAGGAATTAAAACTGAAATGATGTAATGCCTAAAGATGGATTAAAGTGATCTTGTGGGGTGAATTGAGTTACTCAGTGACAAGTTTCATGGATCTTCAGATAATTGTAATTATTATTAAGAGGAGTTGTTAAGAACTTTGGTCATTAACTAAGAACAAGTAGCCCTGTTTCTTTAGCAACAAGAATGCAACCTTTAAATATGGCAATTTTGTGTACCCTGTCTGAGTGTCTATTGCATGAAAAACAATTTTAGAGGGGGTTTGAAAATTTTCATTTTTAAAGTTATTTAAACGATCCTTTTAGAAACTAGTTCTTAAAAGTGCTAAACAGGTTGGTTTATTCATATTTATTCTGGTTCTAAGGAGCGGATTGCCAAGTGTCATGGGTCACAATGTGGATTTTGTACTCCAGGGATTGTGATGTCAATGTATGCACTTTTGAGAAACAACCCTCTACCAACTAATAAAGAGATGGAAAGCGCTTTTGAAGGTACAGAGGGAAGTAGCAGGAAATCAAACTTATTTCCTTTTTATCACATAAATGCCAATTTTGTAAAGTGCATTTGGTTTGAAACCCTGGTGAAACACTGGAATGACACGCTATCCATGAGTTTCATATGGTATCAAAGCCTTGCTTGTGATAAAGCATCAAACTCTAGTAAACTCATTTCTTAATTTGAATGACAGCATGTGATTAATTGACAACATGTGAAAAATTGGAATATTTCCATTTTCTTTTTATTCCTGAGGCATGACTGAGAAGCTATTTCTAAGGCTTGTGCATTGGGTTTCATCAGGGTTTCCAAACAGTCCAACACAATAAAAGCACGTGGCCTGTGCAGCCTCGTGCTCTCATCAGTTTTCTTGTGGTTGGATACCCAGATGAAACCCTCACACTCGTTTTTGAAATTGTACATTAAAGTTACCTTTGCATTGGTCCTCTTGTGTTCAGTTGACCAGAGTTGTGAAGTCTCACATAACTCCCTCTTGCCCATGGAAGGTTGTGTACAAGGCAGATAATCAGTGTCTGAAATTCTTTTTTTAAACCAGAAGAAAAATAGAGAAAAGTATTAATTGGTTTCTTTTCATAATGAAGATAGAGATGAGAATCATGTTTTTCCTCTAATTTTTCTTTGAAACACATCAATCTAAAATGTGTTATCTTCAAAGTGTCATGAACATGAGTAGGTCAGTAACAAATATATCTTCAATTTTTTTGGCAGAGGTTTTACAGATACCTTTTCTTGAGCATATTGACTCCTCATTTGAACCATGTACATCTTATCATAAAGTCGCTTTAGACGTCACATCTATACCTCTGTCAATTTCCCACCAGGTAATTTATGTCGCTGTACTGGATATCGTCCAATTTTGGAAGGACTCAAAACCTTCACAAAGGTAGTGTTCCACTTGTAACTTACAGCACTGGACCTAGCAAGCTTCAGTTTAGCTCTTTTCTTTTAAATTCAGTGCAGTATGAAAATTTTAGCATCATTTTGATCTTCTTTTTACTTAATACATGTTTATTAATTCCAATCTTTGTGAAAGGAATGTTGCGGTAAAGGTGTTAATGGTTGCTGCTCTGAAATGGACCAAAATGGAACCGCTAATGGCATATCGCAGAATGGAGTTGTAAATGTGAGTTGAGAAAATGATTGTTTTCCAATTTTCTTACAAATTTTTCGGACTTAATTTGCTGCTTAGTCTTAACCCTCTGACTCTCATGGGTAATCATGACGAAGACATAATTTTTCTTTACAATATCAAATAAATACATTATCAAGCAAACAGGTGACGAGAATAAATTATGATGAGTATGAATTAGGGGATAAGAACAGTAGTTGATCCAATACCAAATTCTCTGAACTAACATCATAAGCATGACAGACAATAATGAGAATTACTTATGAGATCTTGGATTTGAAAGGGTTAAAGGATTGACTATTATCACTGTGATAGTAGAACCTTACCTTAGATTTGTTGTCGAAAAGAAAATAAAAATAAATAAGTTGCTTTATTTCTATGCTTACAGGGCTGCAATGAGTTGTTCAAGTCAACAGAATTTACACCATATGACCCAACTCAGGACGTTATCTTCCCACCTGAACTAATGGTGAGTTTGTTCACTCTCAGCTTAAATGTTAGAGAGGTTGTTGGAAGTATACAGATTGATTTAATAAAAGTAGAACTGGTGGAATTGGAAGCAGAATACTATCATGTTACCCTGTTGCTCATTATAATCTAATTTGAACTACATTGCTGGAGTTGTAATAAGCAGGAGTTCCACTCCAGCTTGTGACATCAGTAAAATATAGTTTTCACATGTCATCATACATGGGAAAAATGGGAATGTTGTCATTACCCCAATTTCACCTAAGATTATAATATGGTTATGATCCCAGTTTTGGATTACCGAGTATTAATAGCTCTCAAGCAATCTAAGATTCTAAGTAGACTCAAATGTGGCCCCCCTGTCCACCAGTAAAAATTAAACTTAATGGTCAAAGTGACTCTTAATGAATTATCTGATAGGAAACTCTCTTTCTCTCTTGGATTTTCAAGAGAATTTTGGGTTAAATTGGAATAATATTCTTACTAATTTTTGGTTTTGCTAATTTTCATAGTTACCAGTTTGTTCAGGGGAGTGCTGAAATGCTTGGAGAATTTAGTACAGATACAGATCTCCAACAGGGTGATAATTTAGTACACTCAAGATTGTAGTAGAATATTTTCAATTCATTAATTTTCTCCAAAGCTCCCAGAAGCCGCCAAACCAAGAACTCTATATATCAAAGGAGATAATTCAACTTGGATCAGACCAACAACACTGGAAGAGTTGTTGGAGCTGAAAACAAAATATCCACAAGCTAAACTTGTGATTGGTAACACTGAAATAGGTGAGAGATGTCAGAACTAATCTATGATACAGTATTGACATTTATTTATTAAAATTCTATTGAGGAGCTATTAATGATAATAAATCAATTCACACCTCCCCTGATATCCTTAAATGGGATGGTGGCCTAACAAAATAAAGGCTACCCCCTGACCCCCTCCCTACCTCATGGACACTTTCTCAAGTTTCTTCACAGTTTTGCAGTACCCATAATCCTTTTAAACCTGTTGGAGGCAGGTTGTGTGAGATTTAAGTGCCTTGTCTAGCAGCATGCCACAGTGTCACCAGCCAGGGTTTGACACCCTAGTTCACTATTCAGTGTCCCGCTTAGTGAAAGTTGGCCTCTGGGTCCAATTCTCTCATCAAGAGGTCTTATTGCAGTTTTGTCTTTTCACCAAATACTCAGCCTTTCAATTATTTATATTGCTATCTGAACAAGGTCCATAAAAAACCTCAGTGACCTAAGACAGACAGCTAAATTCCCCTTCCAAACTTTTTGTTTATCACCTTAATTAATCATGATTTTTAAAATTAACATCATTTCATTGACAGGAATTGAGATGAAATTCAAAAATCAGAGTTATCCAATCCTGATAGCTCCTACTCACATCTCGGAGCTGAATGCCGTGGAACACACTGCAGAGGGCATCAGGTTTGGTGCATCAGTGACGCTGACTACTCTGGAAGAGGTTCTTAGTGAGGCTTGCCAGTCCATGCCAGGTAGTAGTCTTAAATTAAACAGATTTCTTTGAATGGTGAACTAAACTTAAATAACTAGTTAACTTTGGGAAAATCACTGTCCAGTTGTTCTGTATATCTTATCATTTTAATTAAGCTGTCAATTTTTGTTGTAATTAGAGCTATTGAGTTTGGCAAGTCGCGACTTGGAATAGAGAATGAATTTGGAAGTAGGAGCTTTAAAGGGCTAATTAAGATCATTACGACTGACTGAACTGAATGATAATTGTTGTATTGTTCAGCACTGGGAGTTTGGTCATTGTGCATAACTGTTGTGTTACATTATTCTACTTCTACAGAATTCAAGACCAGATGGTTCACAGCAATACTTCACATGCTCAAGTGGTTTGCTGGTCATCAGATTAGAAATGTTGGGGTAAGTAAACCATACCTTTTCTTTCTTTTATAATGAAAGAATATTCTTAGTTTATGTCAGTTAAAATTATTCAATTATAGTTCTTTTGCCATTGCATTGTTCAAATAAAATTGGATTCATTGAAGTCATGGGCCACAATCTGAGTGATAATTTTACGAGACTTATCTTACAGATATTGACATGATTTTTCCTTCCAGGCTATTGGAGGAAACATTATGACAGCCAGTCCGATATCAGATTTAAATCCAGTGTTAATGGCTGCAAGATGCCCTCTTACATTAGCTGCTGCTGGAGGTACACCTGCTGTTTGGAAATTGTTAATGTAGGCCCAACAATGCTGGAGCTCAATGGGATGTCAGTTTCTGTCATATGAAGAAACTAGGAGTTTTGCCTCTCCCCCCTTAGATGGAA